AAAAAACTTCAAATCGACTTCGAAGCTCAAAAAAAACATGGATACATACCTTAATGGGTTCTCTTTCCATATATACTACTATATTATTGTCTTATAACTCCATTTTATAAGTTTTGTGAGGTTTTGATTTTTTGAATTTGGAGATGTTTTGGAGGATTTAAGAAGATGAAGAAGATAGGGTTTAAGGGATTTGAGTTTGGAAAGAAGAAGAGAGGATTTGTTTTTCTTTTTTTTCCTTGGTATTGAAATGAGGAATAAAAAAATTGTTTGTATAAATTGTATTTTGGTTGATGAAGGGCGTTTTTGTACTTTGTTAACAATTTTTTTTATTTATGGTTTTAAACTAAAAAAAATGTTTTTTTATTTTGAATTTTTTTTTTACAAATAGTGTTTTTCGACACATACCTGTCGAAAATTCTCCAAACTTTGACAGATATGTGTCGAATTATTTTTTTTTTATATATTTTTCGACACGTTGGTGTCGAAAATTGACCTGTATGTGTCGAAAATTGCCGGCGGGTTTCAAAAAAAAAAAACTTCAAAATCGACTTCGAAGCTCAAAAAAGACATCGATACTTACCTTAATGTGTTCTCCTTCCATATATACTACTATACTATTGTCTTATAACTCCATTTTATAAGTTTTCTGAGGTTTTAATTTCTTTAATTTTGAGATTTTTTAGAAGGGTTTGTTGTGAGGAAGAAGAAGGAAGAGGTTAAGGAATTTGTGAAGAAGAAGAGGGATTTTGTGTGTTTGTATTGAAGAAAGAAAAATGAGATTTTTAATATTTGTATAGTATTTATTTTCATTAATGGTATTTATGTCATTACTTATTTATTATTCAATTTTTATTTTTTGGTATTAAAGTGAGAAAAAATTAGGATTTGTTATAGTCATTCCCTTTATGGAATTTGGAATGAAAATTATCTGGGCAAATTACCAAAACCCCCTTGAGGTAAGCCTAAATAACGAAAATCCCCCCACGTTCTCGTAATTACGAAAACCCCCCTTGACTAACGGTTGATCGAATTTTTTTAACAAAAAACGTGAAATGTCTGTTATATCCTTCTGTTAAATATGTGAAAAATATTCTGAGAATACATTTGTTTGCTGCAATAACATTCGACCACGGAGTTCATAACCGGGGAAATATTCTAAGAATCAACAGTTTTGCGCGATTGAATCAATAGAGGGAAAATCTTGGCAGGTGGGTAATCTTGAACAATTGAATCTAAGATGGGGTTTCCAAGTACAGAAAGCTCCGACCCTAACAGTATCCGGATAATCCGGCACCGATCGCCGATATCAGACTTGAAATCAAGGGTATTCTGAGCCCAATTGAAGAAACTAAAACATATTTTGGGGTGGGTTTCGATTATGTTCAAGATTTGGTGAAAGAGGGAAGGAGTAAAATTGGAGGAAAATTTGAGGGGTTTGAGAAGCGGAGCCCATAATTTGGAGTGTCGTTGCAGGAGGACTGTGGAGGCCTGTGAAACAAGCTGGGTTTGGTTGATTCGGGTCCTCCAATTCTGGGTCGGGTTTCTTCCTGAAGTTGTGAAGTGATTGGGGTCACCCGGATTTCTGGGCCGTTGATTTCCGAGCATTTGTTGGTGATGCGGGATAGGATTATCGAAGCGTCCGGCGAAAGGAGTAAAAGTTAAAGGGGCAAATTGGTATTATCAGAGGAATATTCGGGAGAATCAAAAAGATTCTATCGAGTTTAACACCGTTAGAGCGATTTGTAAGATGTCTGCGTACCTTAGGGGGTTTTCGTAATTACGAGAACGTGGGGGGAATTTCCGTTATTCAGATTTACCTCAGGGGGATTTTGGTAATTTGCCCAAATTATTTTTCCCAAATTGGAATTGAAATCAGCGAAAATTAGAATAAAATCAGATTGAAATCAGCGAAAATTGGAAATTATATTCCAATTTCCACATTGAAAAAACCGTTTGGGTTAGGCCCATCATATAAGTGGGTCAAGCCCAGATAGGGATACAGTGTCGGGCTAAGCAAAATGTTATAATTTAGTTAGACAATAGTTTCAAAAGCCCAGTGCTAACTCTCGCTCGTTAAATTCAGATCTGAACTTCTCTTTAATTATTGGGACTATTCCCCTCAAGCATTTTTTTAATAATGATGAATCTAATCACTTTTTCTTTATTAGTGATAAACTCAACTTTTATTTATTATCAAATTTACCCTTCCCTAGTATTTGTTGCACATACCTTCTTTATTTCTTTTCTATTTTCCATTTTAATTTTCGAGTTGTTTATTTAAAAAATAGTTTTTTAAATAATTTTTATAAATATTTTTTAATAACTAAAAAATAATATTATTTTCAACAGTTTTTTAGTTTCGTTTCTCCAAAATCAACTATAATATTTTCGAAATCGACTAAATTTTTTCTGAAAATCAACCAAAAGATTCGTTTTTTTTTCATATCATTTATTTTGAATCCAAAACGAATTTTTTCGAAACTAATTTACCAAATTGACAAATTACTACATATTATTGAAATAACTATAAAAAATCAAAATCAAAATTCATATTTTTTTTAATTCATATTTTTTAATTCATATTTTTTTTGAAATAACTAAAAATACATCAACTAATTTGTTTAATTCATATTTTTTTTTTCCAGCAGGTCATATAATTGGATAAAAAAGTAAAAAATCAAAATCAACTACCAAAAACTTGAAAATCAACCAAAAAAGTCGAAAACAACTAAAACTATCAAAAACAACTAAAAGAAATAGCAGGATAACAAAAACAGCTATAAAAAATAGCCGAATAACAAAATAACTATTTGCTATAAAAATACCTAACATCAAAAGCCTAAAAAAAATCGAAAAAATCAGAACTATGGCGACGACAGGGCAGAGGCGGGGGCAACAAAGTATCTATATCGGCGGTGGAGTTGAGGGGTGGAGTAGGGAGGGACTTTTGAGTTTTTGATGTCGTCTTCTACAACTAAATCGAGATCGGAGCGATGGCAGCGGCGGCGGGACGAGAACTTCAGATCTGGCGCCTTGGACATCAATGTTGAGGGAGTGGAGAGCCATACGAGCGCGTCCTTGAGGCTGTTCCTAAAGTCATCGGTTCATGCTATGCTTTTCAATGGTGGGTGGTGGAGGCTATAATGGAGTGATTCTTTCCTTCACCATGGATTCATTCAGGAGAGAGAAGAGACGGAATGGGGCATGGAGAGAATGACATAAATCAGAGAAAAGAAGATGGAGGCGGTTGAATGGCGTAATAAAATTTGGGCAGATGTGAAATAATATAGCATTAAGGGCAAATTAGATATTATTCATAGCAATTTTAAAAAGATTAATTAAATTTAATAATTAAGGGGGGTTTGACTAATATTGAAAAATGGGTTATCTCCACCCTAATATATGTAAATGGTGTGGGGGGTTTTTCACTAATTATCCCTTATTTATTAATTCCGAGTTCTCATACATTCAAAGATTCAATCTTTATGGGGGGGAAAATGACTCAGACATGATTCCGATTTCCAATTGAAAAAGGTGAGCTCGATTCTTCCAAAAACCTGCTTCCTTTTATCCGTAAAAACTCGAATAATTTTTGTTTTTATTTTAATTATCGTTTTGGTTCATGCTATATGTTTGATGTTTAAGGCGTTGAAATCCCTCTTTTGGTATACAGTTGAACCCTAATTTTCTTAGCTGATATGATTATTCCAATCCTTAATTCTATTTTTTTTTCTTCATCAATGTTGAACTGCTAGTGGATTATGATAAATTCCTCGTAAGTTAATTGTGAATTTCTTCTTTTTATTTACTTATTTATTTATTTATAAGCAGCGTGCTAAGAAGAGATACCCCAGTGGTGATGTTGATAGGATAAGTCAGTTGCCGGATGATATTCTCGTTACGATTGTATCTTTCCTATCTCTCAAGGAAGCTGCACGCACTAGCGTTCTTTCTTCTCGCTGGATAAACTTGTGGAAACACGTCCCGCGCCTCGATTTCGATGCAGAAACTGCATTGTGCAAGACCTCACACAAATATGAGTTGTTGTACAGTGAAGAGAGCTGCAAGTACGTAGAATGGGTGAATCGCGTCATCCGATCGCACAAAGCGGCCACCTTAAAAGAATTCAGAGTGTGTTTCGATTTAAGCCAAACTGTCGAGAATGCAATCACTCAGTGGCTTGAATTTGCGCTTGTGAGGCATATTGAGCGATTGGATTTGGACTTTTCAGCCAGAGCTTTTAATATAGACTTTTCAGCCAGAGCTCTTAATATAGGCACCGTGGGTTCTACATACTACGCTTTCCCGGAGAAATTCGTGAAACGCCCTTCACAAAGTTCATCTACTAATTTCAAGTCCCTCAAATCATTGTCTTTGAAATGTGTTAATTTGACCCGTGAAGCTATCGAGTTCTTTCTACACAACTGCCCTTTGCTCGAAAACTTGGTTGTTCATTTCACGAATAATATATCAAGTCTCGTAGTTTGTGGTTCATCCCTTGCTTTAAAACACTTGGAGTTATATTCTTGCTATAAATTGAAATCCGTTAAGGTTTCCGCACCAAATCTTACTTCACTTACTCTTCCGATAGCGAGAGGACTCTTACTTGAGAATGTCCCGATGCTTGTTGAGTTATCTGTTGGTTGTTCATTTACTCCAGATTACGTGAAAGAGTTACTCGATGCACTTTCTTGTCGAATTTTCCAATTGGAGATTCTTACCTTAATGATTACGTTCAAACTAAGGTTAGACATTGTGTCTTTCTTGTTTTATATATAACACATAATATTTACTCTTTACTTAGCCGTTGAATTCCAGGCAGGTATCGTGGGCTCCAAGTTTCCCCAACTTCCTGAACTGAAGAAGTTGGTCGTTGATTATCAGCCACACGATAAAGAAAGTTTGTTGGAACTGGCACATTTGATGAAGGCATGTCCTTATTTGCAGGAATTTGTTTTACAGTCGACGTGTGCAGAACTTCCGAGATTATTAAGAAGAAAAGTGAAGAGTTCCTTAAAGCTTGCGCACGAGCAGCTTAAGGTGTTCAAGTTCCTTGGCTATTGCGGTAGCAGAAGTGATGTCGAATTTGTCAGATACATTTTGGATAATTGCAGAGCTCTTGAGAAATTAATTATCGATCATCATTTTCAATTCCATTTTTCCAATTTTTCGTATGTATCGCAACACCCGGATACACTAGATTTAGAGCAAAGTGCTAGGACTAACGCCAAGCTGCAGTTGGAACCACTAGTAGTAGTATCTCACCACATTGATTTTGTTATTCTTTAACTTAATTCTATAGGCAGTTGTTTGCGTAATTAAATTATATGTTTCGTTTATTTAAGAGTTTAAACGAAGCCTAATTACTGTAATGTTGTGTATTATTTCATCATGGTTAGGGTTTTTTTTTTCTTTTTTAAATTATGGAATATGTCAATGAATTGAGATGGTTATTGTTGCAGAATTGAATGGCATTTGAATGATTTTTTATTTATACCAGCATTTTTCATGCACGGAATATCGTTTTAAAAGTGAAAACAATGATTAGTTTAATAAATAACAATAATAACTATAATAAAATTTAGATGTCGGTAACATCAATATCTATACAAATTTAACAATACAAACTCATTCTTAAAAAAAATATATAAACTTAATTTTTATAATATAAAATTGATCATTAAATAATACTAACACAAAGAAGAATTAGAGAAAATAAAACATACTAGAAAATAGGAAATATTAATAATAATAATTATTATAAAGATATAGATATGGTGGCTTAGGATTGCGCTAGCCGAGATTTGAAAATAATAGAAAAAAATGACTGCGAAATAAGAGATTATATATATTACAAACATGTCATTAGAGTTTCTTAGATTTGATGTGAAAATAATTAAAAAAAAAAAGTGGCTGCGAAATAGTAAGAGATAATATGTATATTACAACATGCCATTAAATTTTCTTAGATTGCCACAACATTTCTTTTCTTTTTATATATAAAGATTTCTAAAGTCTATAGTATAGATTGCAAAAAACAATTACCGAAATTTTACACAGAAAATAAATTTCAAAAGAAAAGTCAAAAAAAATCTGGCATTTATTTTGTGAATTCCCAGAGATACAGAGTAAATTACATACCGAATAAGGCGTCCCAATTTGAAAAATATATTAGAATTTCTTTATTAGGACATAAATTAAAAGTAATATTAATATTAATATTTTTTTCACAAAAAATAAAAAATGCAAGTGGGGTCCTAAGATGGGCCCAAACGCGGCCCAAAAACAGTTACTTTCTCTCTCTTATATATATATATACGTTGCCCACTCCAGCAAAGAAAGTTTACTCGCCGGTATCTCAACCTGGTTTACGGCTTCGGGTTTCCTCGGAGAAATCACCACAAGAGAAAAACTAAAAAAAACCCTGCATTTTTTTTCTCTTCCTCATTCCGATTTGGTTTAATGGCTGGAAAACGTGACAAAATTGATCCTGGTTTCCAAGCAAAGAAGGTCAGCTTCCATTTCTGAAAAAAAAAATTAGAAGATTTAAGCTTTTTTTTTTTTTTTTTTTTATGACTCATGATATCTACTGTAAATCTATGGATTAAATTCTCTGTTTATGTTTATTAAATTAATGAATCAAACCCCGTCATTTTTTTCTTCTTCTTCAATTTGCCACACACACAAAAAAAAAAAAAAAGAGTTAATTAATGAAGATTTTTGGAGATCATGCAGTTTCAATTTGATGAAATCGTTATTCCCTTATGTAAAAAACCAGATTAAATTACCATGTTTATTTTACTGTTACTGTAACTGTTGCTTAGTTGTGGATTGTAATTGATTATATTCATGAAGAAAAAAAAAGAAAGAATTGTGATTGATTGTTATATATATCTGTGTTTGATAGCGGGCCAAGATAACCTACAATGATAAGGACAGAATCAGTCATTTAGCCGATGACATTCTCGTAATGATCCTGTCTTTGCTATCGTTCAAGGAAGCCGTATGCACGAGCGTTCTCTCGTCTCGTTGGATACACGTGTGGAAACAAATCCCCTCTCTCACCTTTGATGCACACGTTTCTTTGAAAAGGGTTGCAAGAGGGTTCGACATCAGCACGATAAAGAGGCAAAAGTACGTGAAATGGGTGAACAGCGTCATCCAATCTCACGAAGCGGCCGCCTTGAAAGAATTCCGAATCTGCTTGAATCTGAGCAACTTAGCTCGGAAGGCGATCACTCGGTGGCTCAAGTTTGCGTTCGCGAGACGTGTTCAGGTGTTGGAGTTGGACCTTTCGGCGAAAGAAGTGTTCTTTCGCCGTCAGTTTTCTCATTGCGCTTTCCCCGAAGAGCTACTGACTCAAAGTTGGGGTGAAGCATCTTCGTCGTCGAAACCCTCTTCGGATGGTTCCGGAGTTGACTTTAACTTTCTCAAAGTGTTGTCTTTGAAATATGTTGTTGTGACATGTGAAGCCTTCAAGTTGTTTATACGCAACTTCCCGAAGCTCGAAAGATTGGTTGTCGAAGGGACACACGACTTATTAAAAGTTGAAGCTTGCGGTCCGTCGCTTGCCTTAAAACACTTGGAGTTAAGCTGCTGCGAAAATTTGAAAACCGTGAAGGTTTCGGCGCCAAATCTCACTACACTTATTCTTGCGAAAGTGGGTGTGGAGAATCTCTCGATCGAGAATGTTCCAAAGCTCGTTGAGGTATCTGCTGATTCTCGTGGCGACGGAGTTCTTGCAGAAAAAATACTTTCTGCGTCGTCTTCCTGGATTTCCCAATTGGAGATTTTTAGCTTGAAGCTATCTGCCAAGACAACGGTTAGACGTTATTAAAATTGTTTATTTGTTTATTGTTTTATTTAGATGGAGATAATGATTAGTTTTTAAATGGGGTTGATTTCGACAGGAATTCGTTCCCTCCGCAGCTCTTGAACTAACTAAACTGAAGAAGTTGGCGGTCTTTATTTATCATGGAAAGGGTTACGAAAGTCTTATGGGAGTGGCTCGTCTGATAAAGTCGTGTCCCAACTTGCAGGAATGTCTTTTTAAGGTACGTTCGTTTTTATATTAGAAGTCCCCATGCATGCACTTTATATATGACGTTGGCTCTTGTAGAGGACTTGCCGTCTGGAGAGGTCGAGGGGCTATTTGGTCTTTTTACAAACATCATTCTCAAGTCACCTAAAACTACTTTTTACTTGATTTGGAAATTGTTTATATGCCACGTGTTTTTACAAATTTATTTACTGTACATAATCGTTGCTAGATTCGTAGTCGTTTTGCTTTAATTACTCTCGATAAACGGCAATGCATAAACTGTTTTCAAGCAATAAATTAATTTCCTTGTCTTGTTTCTTCTTTCTTTCTTTTCCCATGTGCAGTTAATGTGGTGGAGTCCTTATTGCGTACGTAGAGTGCTGAAGAGTAGCGTGAAGTTTCCCCACGAGCACCTGAAAGTGTTCAAGTTTTACCGCTATTTCGGTCGCCCTGATGAGGTTGAATTACTCGAGTCCGTCCTGGAGAACTGCATCGTGCTTGAGAAACTCGTCATTGATCCCGATTACCGTTCACCGTATTTCGTTGCACCACAAAACCCTGATGACGAAAACGAGAAACAAGCTGTAGTGGATGCATTTAAGCTCGGGATTCAATCCCAACTACCTCAGCACATTGAGTTGGTTATTCTTTGACATAACTCTACAACATGTTTGTAGCATTTCCCGTTTGTTGTATTCAACATGTTTGTTGTACTTTATGAGTTTAAAACTACAAGACTAGTGTTTACTTCTCTTTGATTTCTTATTGAGATGCTGGAATTGGTTTTTTAATTTTTTTATTTTTTTTTATATGTGAAACAGTGACATAATGTACGAGGCATGTACTGTGATTTACTATGGGTTTTTTTTTTGGTATACTTTCGGTGAACTTTATTCGGTTATATTCTAACGTGCGTGCATATAGATTGTTTGCATATTTTACATACATCCACGTGTAAATGTGTGTACATTATTGTGGGAAATGTACTTCACCAGGTGTAGTATCTACATGCTCGATTATATTCTGACGTGCATGAATATAGATTGTTTGCATGTTTTACGTACATCCACGTGTAAATGTGTGTACATTATCGTGGAAAACTGTACTTCACTAGGTGTAGTATCTACATGATCGATTATATTCTGACGTGCATGCATATAGATTGTTTGCATGTTTTGCATACATCCACGTGTAAATGTGTGTACATTATTGTGAAAACTGTACTTCACCACGTGTAGTATCTACAAGATCGAATATTATAATCTTAACGTACCGAATTCAACCTAGTGTAGATGCTAAACACAATCAATTCCGTTGAGTATTACTAAAGGCAAGTAGCAATAATCATACCTAGCTAACGGCTAAAAAGCATATTAATTATAACTGAAATGTTAAACGTCATCTCAATTTTACGCGGCACTTTCATTCGAGATTATGCTTAACTTTCTTAAGAACCAAAATTCATGTACCAACTGATAAGTGATCCTGACTTTTTCACTATTACAAATTATCTTTCACTCTATAATTTGAAGGACGCGTTAATTGTCATTTTTTTCATTTTTTTATTCATCACACTTACTGTTCTAACAGATAAATAGTGGAAAAATAAATAAATGTTGTAAGAAATAATAATAAATAAATAAAAAGGAAATCGGGTTATTTATGATTGAAGAACATTTTCTGTGATATCCGTCGAAAGGATTAAGCTTGATGAGTCTGAAGCGAGTCGGACTTGATTCCGAGTTTCAATCCGAGAAGGTAAGCTTTCAGGAAAGCTGGCTGCATTATAATCTTGTTTTGCCTCGTGATATATGTTGCATGTTTCCAGCATAAATTCCCCATTTTGTTTACTTAAGCTAGAAACCAAACCCTAGATTTTGTTTTGCTGACGTGATTATCCGAAACCCGACGCTAGTATTTTTTTGTTTATTTCTTCAATTTGCAACAAGAAATTATTATTTTTTATTGGGGATTATATCTTGTTTGACAGCGTGCCAAGATAATATACGGTGAAAATGATCGGATAAGTCCGTTTCCCGATGACATTCTCGTTAGTATCCTGTCTTTTCTACCGCTGCAGGGACAAGTGTTCTCTCGTCTCGTTGGATAAACTTGTGGAAACACACCCGCTCGCTCGACTTTGATGAACACATTTCCTTCAAAAAGATTGCACTAGGATCAGACACAAGCAGTGAGGACCTGCCCCCTCATTTTTTAGAAATTACAAAAAAAACCCTTTTTTTGAGATATTACATTCAGGCCCCTTCAGTTGGTAAATTCTCACATCCACCCCTACAAAAGGGTGTTAATGTAAGAAATCTATAAATTATAAGGGTGCATATAATTATGAAAAATGAGGGTTTTTCTTGTAAATAGACTCTTACCTAAGGGGCGGTTGTAATATACCCTTTTATTTAAGTTGCATAAAATAAGAAGTAAGAACTATTAATTTATCAATTGTTTATATTTATTTTGAGATTTATATCACAAATTATGCTCACCTGTCACAAAATCCACCAGCTTTGTTCTCCAATTTTCCCAGAAGATTGTGGTGAAATGTGAATTTTGGGTTATGATATGAATATAATTGATTTTTTCTATTTTAATTAGATGAAATCTTAAAAAGTAATTTTATATAATTACACTATCTCTTGAAATCAAACGCAACTAAAAAGAAAATAAAATACGGGCCTGGCATAATGCACCATAGAAAGTTTCGGGCCCAAAATGTTCAAAACAACAGCTTAACATCTTATTGTTCTTAATTTAAATTAATAATTACACTTAATTGTTCTTAACTAAAATTCATAAAAACAAATCAAATTAAATTAATAATTACACTTAATTGTTCTTAACTAAAATTCATAAAAACAAATCAAAACAACATGTTCTTAATTTAAAATTCACAAACACACCAAAAACAACTTATTGTTTTTAATTTAATTAAGTTTATAGACTTCATTAAAGGATAACCAATTCAACGCGTTGAGGTACCCGCGCTTCAAGTTGCTGCTTTGCAAAACCCCTTGCGATTTGTATTCTCTCTAAATCTTCACCGCATAGTTCGAAATCACGCAAAATCGGTTCGAATGGATCAATGATTATTTTCTCAAGCACAACAGAGTTCTTCAAAATGTACCTAACTAATTCGACATCACTCGAGCGACCGTAATAACCACAGAACTTGAACACTTTAAGGTGATGGTGAGGCAACTGTGAAGTAGTATTCTTCACTTTTCTATGTGATCTCGAAGGATCATCCATCCATAACTGCACATGAGAAAAACACACAATAAATCTATTGCTGCATAAGTAGAAAATAAAATTTGGATAGATAAAGATAGCATATTTCATCAATAAGAGCCAAAATATATTATCAAGCGAACAAGTAGGCTTTTTATTTTCGACGGGTGCAAGTGATGCTTAGACCGTCATTCTGTGTGAATGATTTTTAAAATTTATAAATATCAATTCATCTAAATCAATTAAAGCTCAAATGTCGGAATTAGAATATGAAAGCAAACTTACCTCTAAAATAAATTCCTGCAAGTTTGGAGATGCCCTTATCAAAGGGGTCAGTCCCATAAGACTTTGGTCATGGTCTGTCCAATAGGATACGACCAACTTCTTCAACTTAGTCAGTTCTGGAAATGTGGGTAGAACAACTTTCGTCAAATGCATCCCAAGGCCCAACTAAACAGAGCATTATAATTATTATGTTAAAATAAAAATAAAAAATAAATAAATAAATAAATAAAATAACTCAATTCCAATGTCTAACCTTCCGGTGGGAATTCAGCTGCAAGGTAAGAATCTCCAATTGGGAAACGCAGCAAGAATATGTAGGAAGTAACTTTTCGACAGAGTCATTGTAATGCATACAATTGATATATACCTCTTTAAGCATCGGAACATTCTCAAGCAAGAGAACATCGATATTCGGACCAATAAGTGAAATAAGATTTGGCGCTGAAACCTTAACAGATTCTAAATAGTTGCAGTGCATCAATTCCAAGTGCTTTAGAACGAGGGATGGCCCACAAACTTCAAGATTTGATATTTTATTAGTGTAATGAACAACCAATTTTTCGAGGAAAGGGCAGTTGTGTAGAAAGAACTCAATAGCTTGACCTGTCAAATTAACACATTTAAGAGATAATTCTTTGAGGGATTTGAAGTCAATACACGAATTTCCACCACTAGTTCTTCGGGTGAGGAACTCTTCAGGGAGAGTATAATGTGTGCGTGGAGATGTTTTGTTCTTAACTTTTACGGAAAAGTCCAAATCCAACTTCTGAACATGTCTCGTAAACGCAAATTCAATCCACCGGGTGATTGATTCCTGAGACGAAAGACCCAAATCGAAACAGACACTGAATTCTTTCAAGGTAACCGATTTGTGTGATCTGATGACGCGATCCACCCATTCTTCGTACTTTCGCCTCTCTTCACTGCATAAATCATAGTTTTCTCTAATCCTGGCTAGTGCATTGTCTGCACGAAAGTCGAGAGAAGAGGTAGTGTGTTTCCACAAGTTCATCCAACGAGATGAAAGAACAGTAGTTCGTGCAGCTTCCTTCATCGATAGATAAGATAGGATATTGACGAGAATATCATCGGGCAACCAACTAATTCGGTTATTATCACGTTTCGATCTTTTATTACACTATCAAACAAAGATAAATGCTTCATCATAACTAATTAAGGAAGATTAGTAACAAGAATGTTGAAATTCACTATCCCAATTCTGAATGAACACCACTAGCTAACGTTTATGGCATTGACCAAGTTATATAATAATCCACACAAAACTTTAATTTATTGTTGCAAATTATTGAGGAAAAGGAAAAACAACCCAGTTGAAATTATAATTCATCAAATAAGAGAGGGAAAAAAAATTAATAATAATAAGCAATAAGCAATAACCAAGACGGGTATTTCATATACAACATATGGTATGAGAAGAGGAAAAATAAATAAATAAATAAAATTACAAAGAAAAAATACAACCACACCTTATTCAATTGAAACTTGGAATCAAATCCGAGTCGCTTCCGAGCCATTAAAGCTTGAATCTTTGGACCTCAAAAATAATAATAATAGTGCCAGGTGGAGGTGGATCGGTGCCCTAATTCAAGATGCATTAGGATTTCTTATTAAATTTAGGGTTCCCTTGATTTGTTATTGTGATCATAGATAAGTATGGGAAAGTGAAAGGCAGGCGCCCGGTATTATTTTGAGGCGTAATAAAATGAATTGGGATTACATAATATATTGTCCTCTGTCAGACTATTATTTTTATTTTAAGTTTCTTCTAATGTAAATTGAAGTCACTTTTATTCTTAAATTACAAATTCAAATTAAATCATAAAATTTCATTTCTCTACCATTCTGAAATTAAATCTTTTCGAAAATACTAAATCTATATTTTAGTAGACTGTGAATTCCAATTGGAGATTCTTACCTTGCTGATGAGCAGCCTTAAAAAAGTAATTTTATATAATTACGTTATTGCTTGAATTCAGACGCAACTAAAAAGAAAATAAAATACGGGCCTGGGATAATAATGCAGCAAAGAAAGTTTCGGGCCCAATAACAGTTGTCGCTTCCACCAGTCAGTGGGGACCTTTATTCTTAAATTAAAGACTAATTAATAAGATTCTTAATCTGTGTGAAAAATCCTTAAACGTCAATTAAAGTGGGAAGGAGGGAGTATTATTTATTTTGTTCCGACAAGAGCCCTAATTGTGTAAGAGCATATGTTTTGATTTAAGCGAACCATCTCAGATAGCAGTAACTACGTGGCTCGAATATGCGCTTGCCAGACGAGTTCAGAGGTTGGAGTTTGACCTTTCTGCTGCAAATTCCAGCCGTTATTTCCGTGCCGACTTAAATTATGTTTTCCCGCAAGAGTTACTGATGGAAAGCAATGGCGTGGGATCTACGTCGCAACCCCCTTCAGACACTTGTTTCTTCAACCATCACCCTCGCACACGTTTCGATTTTAAAAAAGTCGATTTTAATATATATAAAATTTCTAATAAAAAACAACTACATTAATTGGGAACGGATCTAGAATTATCTTACATTTATGTGGATTGTAAAAGCAGAACGATTTTTAAAAGTCGATGTCTATGATAATTTTATTATAATTTATTTACGATGGTTAAAATTATTCTGAATTTTACACTTGGCATACAAAATCAAAATCAAAATCCAAAAATATATACTATTGTCCAACTCAAGAATTAGAGTAGTGACCTAATTTGAGGTGATGTATTGTACTTATTATAATTTATGCATGAATTACTAAAATCGAATTTACAATTTCTTCCAATATTAGCTCAATTCAACAACTCAAAACACCAATGAGCAATTGCTTAATTGTTCTACACTTGTGTGCAATTGGTTCTGAAAAAAAGAAAATATATCAAATAACTTGTTACTTAAGTTGCTGTTCAATTGAAACACATGCTTAGTGGGCCACATGCTAACTAGTCATATTATCATCAAAAAATTGTTATTAAAAAAAAAAAGAGAAATGATAAAAGATATCATTAAAAATTAAAGTAGCCATCAACTGAACATATATTTACTAATTAATAAAAAAGAAACTAAACATATTAATAACTAGTGTTATTTAATATTAATAAACATGGAGAAAACACACACATAAACGATCAGTTGCTTGTGCTACACTTGTACAAAGAAAATCAATCAAATTAAATAGGAAAATAAATTGTTACTAAGATTGATCATGCTAAATGATATGGTCGGTGCCACCCTCTATGCTATAGCAGCCCAAATTGATCAAGTACATGCTTATAAGGATCACATCACAATATATATATATATATATATATATATATATATATATATATATATATATATATATATAGTTTTAGGAGAAAAGCAAATAATTATGACATGTTGAAGAAGCAAAGTCTTGAAATAGATGGCCACAGGGCCATATGAAGAATACTATCTGTGAACAAGAGTACTACAAAGTTGGCAATAAAACTATAACTCATCATCATCGATTAAACGCAAACACATGTAAGTCTATAA